CAGGTTCGATTCCGGTCAAGGATATGTACCTTGGTTGCGGGCACATCCCCAGTAGGGGTTGTGCAAGAGGCAGCTGATCAGTGTTTCTCTCTCATCGATGTTTCTAACTCTCTATCCCTTTCTCTTTCTCTCTGTAAAAAAATCAATTAAAAAAATATATTTTAAATATATTATTATTACATGAGTCTGAGGAAGTCTAATTTTGTTTTTTTAAATATATATATTTTATTGATTAAAAAAGTTAAAACATAGAGCTATTATATAATCCAGCAATTTCACTCATCAGAGTATATCCAAGAGAATTAAAAACGTAAGTTCACACAAAATCTTGTTCTGGAATGTTCATGGCAGCATTATTTATAATAATCAAAAAGTGAAGCAAGGCAACTGTCCACCAACTGATGAACAGATAAACATAATGTGGTATATCCATTCAATGGAATGTTAGCTACTTATAAAGAAGACTGAAGTATTGCTACATGCTACAACATGGGTGAATGTTGAAAACATATTGCTAAGCAAATGAAGCCAGACACGAAAGGTAATATATTGTGTGGCTGCCTTTACATAAAATGTCCAGAAGAGGCAACTCTACAGAGACAGGAAGTAGATGAGTGGTTGTCAAGGGCTGGAGGGAGCAGGGAATGGGGAATGACAGCTCCTGGGTGCAGTGGTTCTGTTTGCAGTGATGGAAACGCCCTGGAATTAAATAGCGATGACAGTCCTCAACTCTGTGAACACACTAAAAGCCACTGAACTGTGATCTTTAAAAAGTTGGTTTTTGTGGCATGTAAATTATATCTCAATTAAAATAAAATCTGTCAGGAATAGAATTTGTTTTTATTTGCATTTATGTATATATTTATGTTTATTGATTTCATAGAGGAAGGGAGAAGAAAAGAGAAATTGAAACATTAATGATGAGAGAGAATCATTGATTGGTTGCCTCCTGTACTGGGAGTCTAGCCCACAACCCAGGCATGTGCCCTGACTGGGAATGGAACCGTGGCCTCCTGGTTCATAGTTTGACACTTAACCACTGAACTCTGCAGTCGGGCTGTTCTTTGTTTTTAGACAAAGAAATACTCTTCCCCAAGTATAAAAATATAGGGCAAGTAAGCATCTTATGAGCAGATGATTTATGAGCAAAATGTAGCAAGATCTCTGTCTACAAGGGAGCTTAGCAAGAGCTGCCTCAGCCTTGGTGGGCAGCACCAGCTTGGCTGGGAAGGTGACCCAACAGATCAGAGAGTGGGAGTCCTGGGAGAGAAAGGACACATCCTCCCTCCTCTTCCCCCAAATCCCAGATTAGTGGGTCTCCTGGGGATCACCCAGAGTGATCATGTCTGTATATTAGTAGTTGAGGGAGAGACTTCGCCACTGAAAGACTGGCCTCTTGAATAAATAAGTCTTAACTCATGGTTTGCCCAAATGAATGAATAACAATAACCAGAAACATGAGCTATTAAAAACATGGGAAACACATCTTTCATGAATTGGGGTGGATTTGCACTGTGACAGCTCTACCTTGCTTCCTCCGCTGTTGACTCTTCTCTTTCAGGGTAGGAAGGCGACTTGTCTTGTGGTCCACAAGCATTGGCATGTACTTCTTTGGCATAGCAGCAGCGTTCACCTTGGACTATTACAGCTTCATGTTTGCACGCTTCCTTCTCGCTATTGTGAGTTGTGGGTTTTTTTTTGTTTTTCTTTTTTTACCTTTTTAATTGGACACAGTGTTTCACATTGAAGCTTAACTCTCTCAGATGTGCCAATTTAGAATCTAGGGCGAGAGATCAAGGCTTAACCTTGGATCACTCCCTTGCAGAAGTTCCTCCTGTGGAATATTAATGCCCTCTGTTTAGAATGGGACTCATTAAAATGAGTCATGGTTGCCTACTGGGCAGAAACTTCTCTGTTTGACTCTACGTCTGGCACAGGGTCCACATTCCACAATTGCTAAGGCATTGTTTTACTTCTGAGCAATTAATTATATCGGTCTCATCAGGCCCTGCGTGCCTGAGCCAGACAGATGGGGAAGGTGTTAAGAAAGTCATCTGTGTATTGCTAAGAATGAAAGCAGGAGGGCTTGAGGCCTCTGTGTGATGAGGAACCAGGGGAGCCTTGTGAGAAAGGCATGAGTTCCAAGTACAGCTTTGCCACAGATTGGCTTCTTAGCTGTGTGACCGTGAGAAAACAGGTTATCCTCGTTGAGCCTTAGTCTTTAAACTCTACGCGGTGGAGAGTAATGCCTGTTTCCCCGGGCTGTTATCAGCATCCAGCAGGGTTAAAGCGAACATCTGTGGCCCAGCACTAGGCAGGGAGGAGGCCCTCTGTGCAATAGGGACTGTCACTGGAGGTGGGAGTGAGGATGTTGTTTCCACACTTGGCTTCCAAACGGTCAGACAGCAGCAGGAATTCTGTTTGAAGGTCGTTGGTCCAGGATAACGGAGTGACCTTTTCATCTGCAGGAAGAGTTTGCAATCTTGCGGAGAAGGGAACCTCTCCCCTCTCACCAAGGGGTCCAGAGAGGAGCATCCACAAGGGTTTCAAAAAAAAAAAAAATTCGAATATTAAAGGATGAAGAGAGGCCTTTGGGGAAATTGACAGTGCTCTGGAATAATTTTGCAAAAATTAACTTCATGATTGTGCAATAATTTTGCAGGAAAATTTTTAATCCTTTCACTGCTCCCCTAAAAAAAAAAAAATCCATCATTTGATTCATTCTTTTTGTATTCCAAGAATGATAACAGACTATTATTATAATCTAAATATTGTTTAAAATGGACCTATTTTATTTTATTATTTTAAAAAAATCTTTATTGTTGAAAGTATTACACACGTCCCCCTTTTCCCCTCTTTTTATCTCCTCCAGTCGCTGGGCCTATTTTCAAAATAAAGGTTTCTCCCCATTTTTTATTTATTTTTTTATTTTGGTAAGATACACATGATATAAAATTTACTATCTGAACTGAAGTGTATTAGTGATATTAGTTACCTTCATATTGTGCAACCATCATCATCATTCATTTCCAGAATATTTTTCATCTTGCAAAAATGAAACTTCTATACCCATTAAATAATAATTCCCCTTTCTCTCTATGCATCCCTTTAGCCCTAAGCAGCTGTCATTCTCCATTCTCTCTCTAGGCACTCCATATAAAAATGATACAGTATTTGTCTTTTTGTGATTGTCTTACTTCATTTAGCATAACGTCCTCAAAGTTTACTCATGTTGTAGCTTATGTCAGAATATTCTTCCTCTTTCCTTTTCAAGGCTAAATAATATTCCCCTGAATGCATACACCACATTTTGCTCATCTGTTCATTTGTTTACAGATACTTGTGTTGTTTCCGCATTTTAGCTACTGTGAATAAGGCTGTTATTCACAGTAGCTAAAATGGGTGCACAGATGTCCCTTTGAGACCTTGCTTTAAATTTTTGTGGCTATATAGCCAAAGAAGGATTGCTGGGTCATATAGTAGCTCTATTTTTTTTTTTTTTTTAATTTTTGAGGAATTCCCATACACCTTTCTTTAGTGGTTGCATCACTTTACATTCCTGCTAGCTGTACACAAAGGTTCAAATTTCTTGCATCCTTGCCAACACTTGTTATTTTCTGTTTTTATTTTTGTATACTACCATCTTAATAGCTATGAGATGGCTTCACATTGTGATTTTGATTTGCATCTCCCTAATTGTTAGTGATGCTGATTGGCCATTCACATATCTTCCTTTGGAGAAATCCCAGTTTTTTGTTTGCTCATTTTTTAATTAGATTGTTTAATTGTTTGTTGAGTTTTTACAAGTTCTCTAGATATTCTAGATATTTTTTTCTTATCATATATGTATTTTGCAAATGTCTTAATCCTTAGGTTGCTTTTTCATTCTGGTGATAGTGTCCTCTGATGCACAGTCTTAAATTTTCATGATGTCCAACTTATCTGTTTTGTTTTTTTTTCTTTGTTGCCCCTCAAAATAAAGTTTTAGTTAAATCTTTTTTCTTTCCACTACTTACCACAACTTTTTGTCCCTGTTTAAAGTTTAGGATTTAATAATAAGGACCTCATGCATATACGGTAGATAAATTGATATGTACAGTTACAAGAAACTGGAAATAAATTCACAGTGTAAAGGAACATTTAAATGAAACAGAAAGCCACTTTATTCACACATAACCTCTTACATTTTGCCATTGAGTGCGGAGAAGATGAAAGGACCCCCTTTCAAGTGGAAGGATGGATTGGATTAGGTGTCCTTTTATAAATGTGATATGGGTCCCAGAAAACAATCCTTTGGCATTTTCTCTCTTGCCTCACAGAGACGTCAGACCCCTTAGGAGTTGTACACGTGACCTTAAACCTGGACTCTTTCCCCCCTTTTGTTTTCCAGGTTGCAAGTGGCTACCTCATAGTGGTGTTTGTCTATGTGACAGAATTTGTCGGCAAGAAGGCTCGGACGTGGGCATGCATCCAGGTGCACTCCTTTTTTGCCGTTGGAACAATGGTGGTGGCTTTGACGGGCTACTTGGTCAGGACCTGGTGGATCTACCAGATAATCCTCTCAACAGTGACTGTCCCCTTTTTCTTCTTCTGTTGGATGCTCCCGGAGACTCCTTTTTGGCTTCTTTCAGAGGGGAAATTTAAAGAAGCGCAAACAGTGGTTGATCAGATGGCCAAATGGAATAGAACAGGCACCATTCAACTGTCAGAACTTTTATCCCCGGATATATACAGTCCTGTTGGTAGAACAACTACTTATGTTAATAAGCACAGGCTCTTAGATCTGTTTCATGACTGTGATATCGGAACAAGAACACTTATTATTTGGCTGATTTGGTTCACGGGGTGTTTGGGATTCTATGCCTTCTCCTTGAATTCTGTGAATCTAGGAGGCAATGCATATTTAAACCTCTTTCTCATGGGTAAGTAGTTAAATTATATTTACGTGTAACAGTGAAATGCAATTTCTGCCATGTTTTTATTGTCTTTTTTTTCTCTTCCTACTAAGAACAGTACTGACAACTACATGATGATTGTCTCATATAGTGTTATACTGTAACACATGCATATACAGGGTGGGCAAAAGTAGGCTCACAGTTGTTCCTATGGAAAATAATACAATAAATAATAATGCAAGGATAAACTGTGTTTTGTGTACTCACAACTGTAAACACACTTTTGCCCCACCCTGTATATTCTTTTTTAAAAAGGCAAATAGTTAGAAGAATTTAGTCTCTTCTGCCTCTTCTCCTTGCTGGCTTCCTTCTTTTACGCCCCTCCCATCTAGATCTCTCTCCCATGGGTAATTGTTGTAACATTTGGCTTCTGCCCTTTCAGATCTCTTTCCATGCATATCCGTATATTTGTGCAGATAAACGTTTCTTAGTTTAACCTAAGTGAGGTTACTCGCTGCATATTGCTCCTTGTACGTTGTTTTCCTTTTAAAGTGTAATATGTCTTGGAAATCTTCCGGCTGCTTTCCTCCTTTTAATGTCCTTACTTCAGAAATTTTGGTCAGTAAAAGCACTTAAATGCATGCGGCTATAATTGATGTTGTGGTTCTTCCATTGTAGCAGCAGGTTAACAGTGGCTTCAAATGTTGCTGTGACCACTTGAGGGGTGACTCTCAGGGTAAACCAAATTCACTCCAAACATGAGAGAGGTCGTAGACATCTATCTGCACTTGCTCATCCAGTAGTAGCTTCTGGTCCTGCAGGCTGCCTGTGCTTGATATTGTCCTCAGAAAAACCTTGCTTTCACCTTTTTTTTTTTTAAATTTTTTTTTTCCTTTTTAAAAAATAAATAAATAAATCTTTATTCATATTATTACAAATGTTCCTCACCCCCCCCCCCCCTTCCATTGCTCCCCTCCACCAGGTTCCCACCCCACCCCCTGCCATTTCCCCACCTCACATTATCCTCATCCATAGGTGCACAGTTTATATTCAGTTTCTTCTGCACCCCTCCCCCAAATCCCCCTTTCCCTGAGAATCATCAGTGCACTCCCCTTCCATACCTCTGATTCTATTATATTCACCAGTTAATATTGTTCATCAGATTTTTTTAATTCCCTTGGTTTTTAGATTCACTTGTTGATAGTTACGTATTTGTTGTTCATAATTTTTATCTTGATTTTCTTCCTCTTCTGAAAGAACCCCCTTCAGCAATTCATATAATTCTGGTTTGGCAGTGATGAACTCCTTTAGCTTTTTTTTCATCTGTGAGGCTCTTTATCTGATCTTTGATTCTGAGTGATAGCTTTGCTGGGTAGAGTATTTTTGGCTGTAGGTTCTTGTTATGCATCACCTTGAATATTTCTTGCTATTCCTGTTTGGCCTGCATGGTTTCTGTTGAGAAATCAGCTGACAATCGTATGGGTGCTCCTTTATAGGTACCTACCTGCTTTTCTCTTGCTGCTTTTAATATTCTCTCTTTGTCTTTTGCTCTTGGAATTTTAATTATGATGTGTCTTGGTATGGTTCTCTTTGGATTCCTTTTGTTTGGGGTTCTGTGCACTTCCTGGACTTGTAAGTCTAATTCCTTCACCAGGTGGGGGAAGTTTTCTGTCACTATCTCTTCCAGTATGTTTTCGTTATCTTGCTCTCTCTCTTCTTCTGGGACCCCCATAATTCTGATGTTGGTTCACTTGAAGTTGTCCCAGAGGTTTCTTACATTATTTTCAACTTTCTAGATTCTCTTGTCTTCTTGCTTCTGCGGAAGAGTGTTTTTTGGCTCTTTATGTTCCAAATCTTTGACTTGATTCTTGTGATCTTTCATTCTGTTTTTAGGACTCTGTATAATATTTTTTATTTCAGACAATGTATTCTTAATTTCTAGTTGATCCCTTATTATTTCTAGTTGATCCTTTTCATATCCTCATAGGTTTCGTTTATTTTATTGGCCTTTTCTAGGAAATTCTTGAAAAACCTTATAAGCGTGGTTTTGAACTCTATATCTAGTTGCTTTTTGTCCTCCATTTCTTTCATTTGTGATCTGTTTCCTTGTCTCAGCATTTTTGCTGCTTCCCTGAGTTGGTAGGGTGGCTTTGTGTGCTAAGGTGTCCTATATGGTTCAGTGGGTCAGTCTTCCAGTTGCCTGAGGTGGACACTCTTGGTGCCCCCTTTTGTGGACTGTGTGTACAGCCTTGTTGTAGTTAAGTCTTGATTGTTGTTGGTATCACTGAGAGGAACTGACCTCCAGGCCAATTGGCTGTGAGGATCAGCTGTGTCTATGCCAAGAGACAGCCTTATTCAGCTAGACTTGGAAAACTGCAAAAGCCTCTGTGCTCAGCTTGGATGGGGCAGAGTTTCAGGGTGGAGCCTATAGCTTTGGCTTCCTGTCAGCTCTGGCCTATGAGGTTCCTGAGTCTCGGTGTTCCTCATTGTCCTTCTGTACTTGCTGCAAGCACCTCTGAGAGAAAGGTGCCCTCGAGTTTCACCTGCTACCAAACAGTCCAGGCTCTCCTCCAATATGCCAGGAACTGGGGTTCAATGCAGTTGGAAGTGGGATTGGAAGTAAGGTTCAGAGCAGTCTGGAGCTTTCTTTCAGCCAGGGCAATCCAGCAGCACAGTCCACAGTCAGCAGTCTGTCCTCTGTGCGCAATGTGCGCACCTCTGGGACTGCCTTTCGCCGCTCCCTTGAGTTTCCACCTTATAGCCTAGACTCCCTTCGTATGAGCCTGGGTCCCCAGGGTCTTGCCTAGAACTGGTGTTCAGCACTGTCGGGTCTGGGGTTCAGCATAGTCCAGAGCTTTTATCTCCTTCCCACTAGGGAATGCCAGCCAGGCACTCAGCCATCCCTCCTCTCTGGCTACTTCCTCTACCCGCGCACACTGTGTCTCTGTCCCTTAGGCTTTTACAGCTCCTCTGATTTTCCTTCTGGTTTTCTCTTTCCTTATAGTTGTGGAATTTCCAGTCAGTCAACTTTCCTGTAGTTCTGGATAATGTCCATTTTGTATTTTAGTTGTATTTTTTTGAAATTGTTGTGAGGCTGCAGTTAGGTGTTTACCTATACCGCCATCTTGGTTTTTTCCCTGCTTTCACCTTTTTATACACAAAAATCATCCCTTCTCATTCAAGAACTCCAATGACATCTATTTTTGTTTATCACAGCTCAGTAGGAATTGTGAGGGAAGTCATTTTAAGGAGAAAACTCCACACAAAAACCTCTGTTCTCTTTTCGGGCAAACCATCAAGCTTGTAGAAAGAGCCCATCTTGACTTCATCCCCATTCTATGCATCAGTTTGAGAAATGAAGCAGTATTTCTAGGTCAGTGCAGCAAATGGTAGGAAAATGAGGTGGGGACTGGGGAAGCTTAAGAAAGCTGAAGATTTAGACCTTTATGATATGGTTTCTTTAAAAAAAAAATCTATCTATCTATCTATCTATCTATCTATCATCTATCTATGATTTCAGAGGGAAGGGAGAGGGAGAGAGAGAAACATCAATGATGAGAGAGAATCATTGATTGGCTGCCTCCTGCATGCCCCACTCTGGGGATCAAGTCCAAAACCTGGGCATGTGTCCTGACTGGGAATCGAGCTGTGACCTCCTGGTTCATAGGTCCACATTTAATCACTGAGCCATGCTGGTGTGGCTGATATGGTTTCTTAATTTTGATGGAGATACACATCCTCAAGAAACTGGGTAATCGCATAACGGTAAAAACGTTTCCAAGACAAATCTACATGGTTTTATAATCTCTTCTGTCTCGGATTTCTCATATCCTTACCCTTTCCAGTGGTCCTCTTGCTGACAGGTACTTCCATGCTGTGACATTTTTGAACAAGCTTTCATTTCCTGAGGTGGTTTGGGGCTGGTGGGAACTTCAGCTCTGGTTTCCTGCCATTTGCAGATGATAACAATTGGGATTAGTGCAGCTAGGAGTAGAATGGGGCCCGAGTGATTAGAGAGAGATATTATTAATATAAGGTGAAGAAAGTAATGAGCCATTGTCCTAATCCCAGAAAACGTAGGCCTCATTGCTTGCCCCATTTCTTTCCCAGACACAGCCAAGCCAAAAATCAGATGGCGTGGCCATATCCTGAAGCAAAAACTCAAGGGAAACCAGTGTAGTCCACTTTCACTGTCCCTTCGCGCTTTCACAGCTGCTGCCCAGCTGTGCTAGACTCTGCTGTCTTTACACACAGTGCTGTGCAGGGGACAGCTCCGCGCCCACTTGCAGGACGGTAGTGGGGCAGGAAGGCTGCAGGACAGGGCCCTTGGCTCACCAAGACCTCGCTTCCAGTTCCTGAGCTGTCAGTTACTCTTTGTGCTCAAATAACTTACTTTTGGTTGTCAAGTAGGGATTACTCTCAGGAAGCTCTTTAGAAGATCACTGTCTTATTTGATCTTGAAAAGTGCTTGATATACTCTTTAAAAAAGAAAAAGAGTAGAGCCCAAACCAGTTTGGCTCAGTGGATAGAGCGCTGGCCTGCAGACTGAAGGGTCCTGGGTTCGATTCCGGTCAGGGGCACATGCTTGGTTGCGGGATGTGCAGGAGGCAACTGATCGATGTTTCTAACTATCCCTCTCCCTCCCTCTCTGTAAAAAAAAAATCAATAAAATATATTAACAACAACAAAAAAGAGCAGAGTAATACTAGTAGGTGTATCTACTGTCCTGGCCCGGAAACATGGAACTGACAGCAGCATCTGTGAAAGGAAGGCACCTCCTCTGGAGCTGGTTGTTTTTCATGTTAAAGAGAGAGAGAGAGAGAGAGAGAGAGAGAGAGAGAGAGAGAGAGAGAGAGAGAGAGAGAGAGAGAGAGAGAGAGAGAGATTGTCTCTCAAATGGGGCTCCGAATGTTGTTACTATTTTTTGCTTGAGTCAGGTCTTTTTCTTTTTTTTCTGAGCAGCTGCAATTGCCTGTGGGAGACATTTAGGCCCAAGCCTGCCTCTCCAGGTGCTTGCAGGCTTCTGTAGATGAACGGACAAATGCTCATCACTCCTAAAAGGCAGTGGCGGGAGTGTCTGAGATTAGCCTGCTGCACAGGGAGGACAGAAGAGAACTTTGAATTACAAGGAAGATCTGGGCTGGCTCCTTTCCCGAAGGAGACTGTTGGGTTGACTCAGTTTTGCTGCGAGATATTTCTTGCTCCCTGTTCGGTTCTGGCTGATGGATAAAAAAGCTTTGTTGTGTGTTTTTTTTTTCTTTCTTTCTTTTTTTTCCTTTGCTTTGTTTTGTTTTGTTTGTTTTGTTCTAGTGCTAGGCTCGAACTTTGGTTATTCAAGGAAAGGGTTTTTATGTCAATTATGGATTCAGCTCTTTAATTTTTGTTGTGGGGGAGTGAAAAGAATCCAAAACCAGCCTCTGTTGTGTAGGTGACTCATCTTAGATTAAAACTATTTATTGTTAGGTTTAAATCCACCAAGCAGTCACATTAGTTTATGTACTTAGCTGACACTGCATTTTTTACTTTAGTGTCTAAGTTTGACGTTACTGATACATCCCCCTCCCCAGTTTTGTCAAGCATAAGAAACCAACGATTTAGAAATTATCAATGTTTTTAAAAATATATATATATTTTATTGGTTTTTTAACAGAGAGGAAGGGAGAGGAATAGAGATTTAGAAACATCGATTAGCTGCCTCCTGCACACTCCCTACTGGGGATGTGCCTGCAACCAAGGTACATGTCCTTGACTGGAATTGAACCTGGGACCCTTGAATCCGCAGGCTGACGCTCTATCCACAGAGCCAAACCGTTTAGGGCAGAAATTATCAATGTTGTCCATTAATTTTGCTTATTTATTTATTCAACAGGCCTGCCCTCCAGGCACCTTGCTATGTCCTGGGGGAGCTTACAGCTTAGTGAATAGGTGAATAGAATAGGATAAGCCAGCAGAATGGAATAAGTGCTGGACTGATTACCTTAGCAATAGTGCATTTCCCAGGACACATCCTCCAGGGAGTGTGAAGGGGTGGGGCCTGTTACCTCTCAAGCAGCTGACCATTCTTGGAAGCCTCTGGAAGCAGAACTACTGCTCATGATCACGCTTTTTGGTGCCTGGGTTACAAGGTGAGGTCCCTTTGTAAGGTGGGCACCGTGGCTTATAGAGGGCCCTTTTGCTCAATGACAGGTGCAGTGGATATCCCTGCCTACTTTTTGGTGTGCTTCGGGATGGACACTCTGGGGAGAAGGATGGTTCTGGTCATCGCCCTTTTTACAAGCGCATTTTTCTGTGGTGTGCTTATGATAATTCCCCCGGTGAGTTATTTTATGTTTTATTTAAGGAATGGTTAGTTTTATATATATTACGGCAGCTTGACGAGAGAATTTTAGCTTATTACAGTAAATATGAAGATCAATTTAGATATATGGACAGGACACATACATCACATTTAGCAATATGTTTTCTTTCAAAAAAAATTCTCTTTTATATAAATAGTATTAATACATGCTCATTGTTGAACATTTAAGGAAAAAAGAAATGTATATTTTAAAATGGCCATCATCCCATTTCCAAAGATGGCCAGTGTTGTGTTTGGTAAACACAGTAATTTTGAGTGAGTCAAGTAGGTACCTCTCAGCGATTATAATCCCAAACATTTATTCATTCACCCAGCATCTATTGTGTACCAGGTGCTGTTCTAGGTGCTGAAGACAAGTTTCTAGGTAGTGAATCAAGTTTCTGTAAGTACAACAAAGGAAAAAACAGGAAGAGGAATAGTGGGTGACTGCGGATGGTGGGGAGCGCACCTGCACACTATTTTATTTTATCTAGGCTGATCAAAGATGGCGTGCCTCTCGGGGAAGGTGGTATTTGATCAGAAACCTGAAGGAGGGGGCCTAAGCCTCAGCCTGGCCTCCCTCTGCGGGAGGCAAGTAGCTGACGGGGGGTGGGGTAGGGGTGGGGGAGGGAGAAGGCGACACCCTGTCATGCCGCCGCTGCTGCCACTGCCGGCCAATGCTGCTGCCTGAGCCCCAAGCCTTGGACAGCCACTGCGTCTTTGCCCGGATGGACATCCAGAAAGACGTCAGGAAAACGTCTGCCCTAATTAGCATATTGCCCTTTTATTAGCATAGATAGTTCAACATGTAGCACAAGGCATTTCAGGTTTTGTATATTGTTTGACATCACATTCAAGCTAACCAATGACTTCCTTTTATGGTGATGCTTTACTGAATGATCAGGGTTGGTGACTCGCATGTTTTATGTAACTGAAATTTCCAGGTGGTGATTAAAATACAACAGTTACAAATACAATAAAACTACGCAGGATGAGGAGGCTTCCGCCAACTTGAGGGAGCTTCATCCATACTCGTTTTTGCTTGTGTTTTTAAGCACTTTGCATTGATATCCATTGAGCTGATGGCAGCTGCCTTTGAACTAGTGAAATTTCTCCCCAGATGGCAGTGATAGCTCAATACACATTTAAAAAAAAAATCGCAGTAATTTATTCAACAAATATTGTCTACAATACTGATTAATATGACAAGGTGACACTAGCTGCTTTAATAGAGACATCCCCAAATCTCAGTGACTTCCCATAATAGATTTCTTGCTCACAGAAAGTCTGATGTGTGTGTCCCTGGTTGGCGGCAATGGCAGTGGTGAGGAGACTATGTCTGGCTCCACAGAGCCATTCAGGGACTCAGGCTGACAGAGGCACTGCCATCCTCCACACGTGAACTCCAGGTCATCTGGGTGTCAACATCCAGCTGGCATATGGGGGGGGGGGAAGGAAGGGGATGGGCTAGGGGAGGACCCTGTGAGCCACTGCTGAGAGTGAAACACCGTGGGAGGCAAAGGCAGAAGTTTTGCTGAGGAATGCATCCGCCAAAGGGCGAGGGGCGGGGTGGAGAGCCTGTACTAACAGTCCAAATTATTTTCTGAAGGTAGTTTATACGCCCTGGGATTACTGCTGCAAAGGGTGCAACTTGTTTTTGTGGCTCTTTGATTGATTCCGCTGCCTCAGTTTCAGGAGCTGGTTGGTTATTGCTGGAACCAGCATGCCTGGATGGCTGGATGTTTCTTGTTCCACAGCAATCTCCCTAAGAGATAGTCTTCCCTTGTTTGGCCATTTGACATCTCCAAGGCTGAGGAGGAGGCCCAATCAAACTTTCCTCTAAATTTCATAAAGATGGAAAGCTTTTGCAGGCCACGAGCAGAGTTTACAAAATAAATTCAAACAGAAAAATAAAACTCTTCACTGTTCTGAAAAATACTGGAGGATTAAAAAGTTTTAAGCAATAATTTTCAAGTTTTTATATTTTTCCTTTAAAAATATTAGTTTTGACGGTCTTTCTGCTAATGTATTTTTTCAGAAGTACTATTTTTGGATTATGGTGACAACTATGGCTGGAAAATTTGCCGTAGGATCCGTATTTGGCCTCATTTACCTTTACACAGCAGAGCTATATCCAACCGTGATAAGGTAAGAGTTGCTTATTTTTCTGTTGTTTTCCTTTTGCCTTTCACTTACATATCATTTCCTT